GGGGGGGGGGGGGGGGATTTCGGATTTAAGGGCATGTCAGCACCCACAGGCATGTCCTGCACTCACACACATTCCCACCCAAACTTCTGCTTCTCTGCTCATTATCTACAAAATTCCGTCATCTCACTGTCTGTAACACCCCTCATTTAAACAACGTAAAGAAAGAAACCATAAAAATGAACTCAGTGCCTTTAACTCAAAATATGTCAGCCATATATTTTTGTTGAATTGTTTACTGGACACTTTCATTCATAGATTTTTTTGCCATTCATAAATGAAATTCAAGATATGCACATCACTTAAGTGACTTACTACAGGTACTGTAAGTCTCAAACTAGTAACCATCTGGGCTTCACCATCATAACCTTTGGGCCCAGCAAATGGTGTGATATTTTACTATGGATTGTCATACTTGCCTTCTTCCATATTCAAAAACAACATTGCAGAACCTCAGATATTATTTAGGTTCTGCAGCAGGGAAGTGTGGACACTTACAGACTCAACACTCTGTGGTACTGGGCCCTTTGAGAACCCAAAGCAGAGAACAGAAGTTGATGCTCTGTGGCTTTGGATCTTTCTAGGACCCAGTATGAATTACAAATGGTAGCTGATACGGCACTGCATGGTTCTATGTGATTCTAGAAGTCACTGAACAGGACAGCACCTGACATACTGATTCTGGATCTTTTTAGCCAGTATGAAGGATCCAAGTTGACTCACAACAATCATATAGCTGACCTGCCTCTGCTGTTCCGGGTTCATTTAGAGCCCCGAGCGAAGAGAGTGAGTGGTTCTTGGTGATGGACATAGTTAGATGGAGGCGAACGCTAATGATAGGGTGTGGATACGAGGGAGATCCTGAATAAGCTTTTGAAGGAATAAAGCGGGACGACGCGTGTCAGCATTCGTGTGTATGTGTGTGTGTGTGTGTGTCTGTGTATGTATGTATGTGTGTGTGTGTGTGTCTGTGTATGTATGTATGTGTGTGTGTGTGTGTGTGTGTGTGTATGTATGTATGTGTGTGTGTGTGTGTGTGTGTATGTATGTATGTGTGTGTGTGTGTGTGTGTGTGTGTGTGTGTACAGTATGTGTGCCCAGGTATAGCATGATATCCCCCCGCTGCTCTTGCAAAACAACATCGTTTGTGGAGCCCAAGCTGACTTCTTCTGGTTCCAACAGAAACAGGCCCACACAGAAAATTCAGCCCCAGAGCCACGCAGGGTCTGGAAGTGGAGCACTGCCACTGCATTACACACTGTAGCAATTCAACGCAGGGTGACAAACAGAAACAGACAGTGCGACACTGCAGTGTTACAAACACAGTGAACCGATACACCCTGTAACACTGCAGCACTGTAACACCCTGCAAAACCCTCTCAGTCACTATAAAACCCGCAAAACAAACCCCAAGGTACGAAGATAATAGTTTTATCGTCATTGTAAAGGGAGTATGTACAATGAAATTCAATCCTCACATATCCCATCATACTCTTGGGGTGAGAGAACAGGGTCCTCTCTCTATCCAGCACCCCTGGATTTATTAGGAAAGTTCTTTGGGGGAGTTACTGGGGATACAGACCTTGCTCTAGGGCCCAACAGTGACATGATAATTCTGCTGGACACAGGATTTAATAGGGTCACTTGTAACAAAGAACTTTGGTTTGCGGAAGAGGAGCCTATTTTGTAAAAATTTAAGGGAGTCACACAGTACCCTGTGATTGACACCGCTGAGGGTCATCTCATCAGGCCACGTGACTGATGGTCCAGAACTTTCCAGAAGGTCACAAGACTTCAGGGCCAACTGGAATGACATCTTAGATAATAGCTGTGGTCATAAAGCTGCATTTTCCTCAGTGGTGCAAAAGTATTTGACATCCCGAAGCATTCTGACATAATACGTAATAGCCAAGGCAGTTTGCAATAACGACACCTGCAGATGCGTTAAAAACTGCAGAAAGTCAGAAGCCAAGCCAGGTCCGCAAGGTGCCCCAGGAGAAACATCAGAGGACATCTGCTTAAGGTCAAATAGGCCCCAACGACTCTGCTGGAAGCTGTGAAATCAGCGATGCTGACCTGGAGATTTGTTACTCATTTTACGGAAGTGCAGCTGGAAATTAAAACAGTAAATGAAACCGTCGCATGTCATTCTGAACACCGATGACGACACAGGCCAACATGTCGTTCAGCGCATTTAATAACCAAACCCTGGCTGTTCAGCAAATAGGTGTGAGAGTAAACGTCACCAACTCCGCCTTAAACAACGGCCTCACCTGCTGGCAGTCTGACACCACCAGAGAAACGGTCGCAATTTATTTGTAACCAGAAGGCAGACGTCTAATATCCGACGCAATGAGAGAGCAATGTGTCTGTTATTGTCCATCTTTTGAATGTGATTCCTTCTTTATGAGCAAACCCTTTGGCTGAATGCAGAACACGGACCTCCCATTTTCACATGTATAAACACCACATTTTAATAGCCACACATGTATATGCATGCAGACACCCTGTGCACATGCCAAAATGGCCAAAATAACCATGATTGAGACATCAACATCTCGATTACCAAACTGTACCAGGGCTGGAGAGACCCGGAGAGAAAAGGGGGTGTTTCTGCATTACTGGGTCTGACTGACGTCACAGCAGCCCCCCGAGTGCATCCTCTCCTAGCAGAGAACGTGGAAAAAACAGCAACACAAGGGCTCGACTTCATCGCTGGATCCTCACAACTTCCCGTTTTAAGCCATTGTGGTTCATCGTCTCCCACTGTCAGACGGCTACTTCAATGATTCCCAGTGGCCTGTCCCATGGGCTGGAGTGCTGACAGGATGAACTCTGGGAGCTCTTAAGGAAAGCTGGCTCCAACTCTTTAATGGGGACCAAACAGGGGCGATTCCTGTATCCTCGCTCTCCAAGAAGGGCCAGCCACACAGAAGGCCCCAGTAGCCAGCCTCTATAAAACAGTAACTAACGCTGGAGGGCCTGGTCACGGTGTGTTTCCTGTGAGTATCTGTCTCTGTTTACAGTCATTGCACCCAATTCTCCACATACAAGCTGTTAATTTCAGGCCTGTTAACCATCTTGATGCCCCTGTTCAACTCACCAGCCCCCCCCCCAGAACTCATTTCCAGCTCTCCGGTTAGCCAAACCTAAACCCTTCCAAAGTCTTATTAGTCTTTCTCTTTGGCAGGCCTCCCACTCTTCGTTGCCATGGCAGAATTACCCAGAATGCCCATTACCTGCGCTTGCGATATCCCCAGCATGCTTACGGGAGCATCATAGAACGCAGAAGACCGGAACGTTCCGTCATTAACTTATGTTATTAGCTCTGCTTATCAGATCTGTCTATCTACATTTACTTATGTGTCTTACGGTGAACCGAATGCCTCTTTTTTATTTAGAGGGATATCTGCAGAGCGCAGTTTGTTCAGGCATCTCAAGTCTCCTCCGATCAGGACCTGTGATCTGGCTATTTAAACACGATGCCACCTACAGGCACTTAGTATTCCTGCACTTCATTAGATCATACTACTATAATGTCAGACAATTCTCCGAAACGGTATTCTGACATATACAATGCATTTTGTTTCTAAGACTGCGTGACTTTGTGGATGAAATGTCCATATGCTGATACGGATGTTAATTTTTATTTTTCTTTGTAGAAAGTAGATTTCTAGTTTACAGATTTTCTTTTCCATCCATATATCCACCCATGCATCCATCTTTTAACCAGTTAGAGTTGCTTGTCTATTAAACTTGTAAATATACTATTTTTTTCATAAGGAAAGCAAATCAGGGGTCGACAATTCAAATCGCAAACTTTTTATTAATTTTCCACGAATAGTCCTATAAAGATTTTTTATTACCTCGGGTTTGACAGACACATTTTATTGGCAGATTATAGGCGTCATTATATGCTATAAATCTGAATAGTTAAATGTACTTAAATTTGACCGCTGTTTCTCCCGTGTAAATCCCCGTTTATTTGTTTAGAGAGGATTTGCGGAGCATGGCGTCAGGGCATTTAACACGGGTCACGGCCGCAACGTTTTAATTTAGCCCAGCCTCAGGGAATTTAGGTCATCTACCGAGGTCATCTATTAACACTTTTCTTTAAACCGAGAAAGTGCTTGCACATTCGTCAACTGCTATCAAACTGACATGAATTGTATATTTTCCCTCTTAAAATTCATGCGTGCATTGGTCCAATAATTTAGCCATAACAGATTTATAACAAGCACCTCAGACATAAAACCTCTAGAAAAAATGCCAACATTAAATTGTATAATTAAATGAATACTGTTATTTTACTAACCCCATAGGCTACTTGTGCTTAGTATGACACACTCGCGCTCGCATCCCACTAGTACACATTTAATACGGATGCAGCTTCATAAATTGCATATTGTAGAAGTATTCCAGACGATTCCGTACTGTATAGCTATCGAATAATCTCAGGATATCACGCAGTTGTGCTCTATAAATTATGCGATAAGTCTTGTTTTAAATGTGCGACGCGGCGACAGACAGGATTTCCAATAATAAAAAGCTGTGCAGAAATACCTTAATCATAAATCTGCTTAAAAACCGTCCGCCGCAGACCTTCCACCCTGGTCTCGGCTCATCTCACCCAGGTTGCTGAACAGTCAGTAGCCGGTGGAAAGGTACGATCGAAGCACCTTACCCGCACCCAGGACCCACGGGCTTCTGAGTTATACACAAATTGTGCAATGAGACAGAGCGCACCATGTTTCTAAGCTAATGCCCCTACCATATCTGCATGGGGCACAAAAATACACTTAAATCAACTCCCTTGTGTTTAACATCACTTCATGTTGGAGAATGCTGGGGAAATACTTTCTTTCTGAAACTTTTCTGCAGGAAAGTTCCCCCCGAATACCGAAGCGCATTGAACCCAGCTGCTCGTTAAATATTTTAACTTATAAAGTTCAATGCATCACGGTATGCGTGAACTTCGTTTTATTATGCGCGAAATGACTTACCGGCTTGAATCGTGCCGAGAGACGGACGGTGCAAAGTCTTAAATGCTCTGTGCGACTTGATAACTTGCGTGTGGAAAGGACCAGTACGGAGAGACAAAAAAATTAAAATCCTTCCGAGGCCATATAGAAAAATGTATCGGTCCCCCTGCAGAGACGCGCGGGTCGCACACCGGCGTCTGCCCGTGACTTGGTAATTTCCACGCACAGGAATGCCCGACTGCGAGCTAGCAGGTCGCCATACAGACAATAGGGCTTTATGGGCGAGCGAGAGCCGAGCGCTTTAAGCGGCAGATGGGAGGGGCGAGCTCCGCCCGGGAGGAAGCCGAGGCGCCCTGGGATCGGAGAGGCTGAAGCGCCCCGGCACGAGACCTGGGACCCCTAATACATGGCGTGGGGCTCTACTTTTCACCAAATCTCTCATCTTAATAAACAAAACGTTAGACAAAAGTGTTAGAAGAGTTATAATTCTATATAACTAAATTAACAATATCCATCCATCCATCTATTTTCTGTAACCAATTCAGGGTCGTAGGGGGTCCGGAGCCTATCCCGGAGGCTACGGGCACAAGGCAGAGAATAATCCAGGATGGCCGACCCATCGCAGGGCACACTCCGCTAACCATGTATTTTTTTATCACCTAGGAGTTAATAAGCAAAATATTTTACAGTCAGAATACAGAATACACCTTCATTCGGATCATTATGTGAGCTTTAACTTTTACTCTCTTAATAGGCCTACCTATTAGCTAATTAACTATTATCGTACCACTATGAACACTCTATTAAATTACACTTGACCATGGACATGCATGGGACGTTATGCAGATGGGTAACGAGCTCTGAGCTCGTGGACAGCAGGCTGCTGGAAGACATGGTACGATGAACCGATAACCCGCCAGCGTACCCCGAAAACACCAGACCCCTGAAAATGTGTTCGACCTCACAAAGTTCAACCAGGCAAGGACCAATGGCAGCAGACGGTAGAGAGACTGGATTTCGTTCCTAGGAACGGCACTGCGATGGTCCAGTGTCTCAGGATATATAACTGACTAATTATAGCAACGACATGAAGCACTAATTCGCATTTATAACTGGATGCTTTCATGCTGTGACAGACATGACACTCTCTTGCTTAAACGTGTTGGTTTAAGTACCTATACAGTTTCACCCCATATAACGACAGGCCTACAGGACACGCATGCATTACCGCACAAGATGTTCACCCATCGTCTGCCGCCCATAGACACCACAACTCACATCTGTACTGCATTATGGCGTGTGGAGGGGAGTCGAGTGGGGATCACAGGGATGTTCCCAGAGTGTCTCAGCAGCGGACTCGCGTTTGTCGACGCCACGGGTAGGACAGGCCCCAACCCCCAACCCCCAACCCCAACCCCCAACCCATGTCTGTAAGCCCATGCTTTGGTCCACAGTATATTGACGGGCATAAAAAGCTTGTCGTGCCAGATAAAGGAAAACATTGAAGCATAAATTGTAATTGTATTTAATTCCCAATTTCTGACACTTGAATTTCAGCAGCTTGTACAAAAATAAAACGTAAAACCTAATTAGAAATGAAAAACCTGTGGTTTGTAAGATAAACAACGCCCCCCCGAGAGCCATCTGCCTCTGTCATCGTGAATCATCAAAATGTATATAGAATTTTATATATAATTTTCTCCCCATCAGTGTTCCCATCGTTTCCCCTCTCTCTCTGTTCCTTCTCTCTCCGTCTAAACGATCAGCCCCATCTGAAGAAGTACATCTGGCTTTTGATATCTCCATAGTGGTTGCGGGGGTGTCCCAATCATATCTGTCCCCGAAGCGCGTTTAATAGTCTTCGTGAAACACGCTGCAGTTTTAATGAATCAGGCTTAGGCTGATCTCACATAAATGACCCAGACTGAATGTGTATGAATTGGCCACAGTATCTACATTCCCCCCCCCCCCCAGTGCAACTGTCTTCTCCAGACCTTCATTAAATGGTGCTGAACTCTTCAACTTACCCTTGCAGATGGAAGCAGCACCAGACGAAGTTGACCGCCTCCCACCCCCCCATACACACGCCATACAGATGGACACCCCCCCACTTTTCCTTGGCTGGACTTGAATGTGTAAAAATTGCTTTTATGGTTCTTCAATTTCAAAAGAAAAACCATGTGACTGACATGAAAACCGTGAGTGTTTCAGACGAAAAAACATCTTTTTTGACACGTAGAATAATATACAGAGTGATCTTTTTAGATATTGATACATGTATAATAGATTGATTGGTATGCGGAAATATATAAGTTGTGAATGTGGTGATACTGTATATGTCCCTCTTTCCATCTTCCATCTGCAGTGATCGTGGGGCTGATCCCAAGGACAGGTCACTAAGCATTCGAATGCCAAGCCTTTGTGGGAAACACACACACGCACAGACACACACACGCACAGATACACACACACGCACAGATATACACACATGCACAGACACACACACACACACACAAGTTGGTATTCCTATCTAAATGGGGACCATCCATTCATTTCTATGGGATAATCCCAATCACGACACCCTTAACCTCTACCCATCCCTAACCTTAATCATAAGTAACCAACCCAAATACAAGACTTTTGACATTTTTACTTTGATTGCATTCTCAGATTTTTATAAAACTGAGGTTATGCAAATGGGGACCTCAAAAGATGTCCCCAAAAGTAGGGAAATTTCAGGTTTTACTAGACTTTGGGGACAATTTGGTCCTCAAATGTGATCTATGCAACCCCCCACGCCGTACTAAATAATTGTAAAAAAAAACCCCTGCTTCCCTAAGGGGAGGTTAAATACCGCATCT